ACCATTTTCAATTATTAAACTTTTGAGAAGATGTTTTTATTTTAAATATATTGAAAATATTGTTGTTAGACAAGTTCAAATTGACGTAATGATATTGTGTTTCCATTTAATATCTTAATTGTCTTATTATTATTTTATATTATCTTTAAATTTAATAAAAAATCAGATCTAACTTATTAAAATATTTTTTTTGTGTTACAAAATATGTCATTAAAAGCATAAAAATAATATTTATTTTAACAGTTAAATAGTGGCATAAAAATAGTATCACTAAAAACCTACCACTTTTTAGTGGCATAATGAAAAGTGCCACTAAAACCCAATAAGGCTGCAGCGACACAACCAAAAAGTGTCACTAAAGGTCTTTAGTGGGAGCGTTTTTAGTGGCACTTTTTTTGTGTGTCGCTGATTGTACAGGGGGCTTTTAGTGGCACTTTTTTTGTTTTTAGTAGCACCTTTTGTGTGCCACCAATTGTCATTTTATTTGTAGTGAATCTACTAATGATGTTCTTACTGCCCTAGACAGAACCACGTTTGAAGGAAAGATCATGTATGTTTCTGAACTATTCCACTATTTCATCTCAATTTATTATTCTAATTCTTTACTTTAGTTCTTGTTGTTCATTAAACCCCATACTTCTTTGTCATTACAATCATCTTGCATTTATCACCATTAGTCTCTCTCTCTCTCTCTCTCTCTCTATATATATATATATATATATATATATATATATATATATATATATATATATATATATATAACATTTGTAGATTGTGATGGATCAGAAGAGTTGCATGACTATTGTTTTCATCATCTTCCTTATAATCGCAGTGTCTGGTTTCGCTAATGTTTTGCTTGATTAACCTTCATTTTTCCCTATTTCATTTGTGACATCAAAACATGAAATTGAAGTTTATTGGTATTCCTCTATTTTCATTTAGACTTCATGATTTTTTTTATAAGTGATTTAATTGATTGAACCATCAATTACTGATTATTCATAAGATTTTATACTTGATTAAGCCAATATTCTAGAAATTTAATTTGTGGAATTGCACGTCTCTTCTAGCTTTTATGCTCAAATCGATTTTGTTTTAATTACGATTTTGGATGTACAATTCTTATAAACTTGAATCCGAGCTAATCCAGCTCTACTTACTATTGCAAGCTAATGGAACTTGCTTTTCATAAATCGTAATTCATATGATCCATATGATTCATCAATGTAAATAGTCAAAATTGGGAAAATTCAAAGTCAATGCAAGAAAATTGGTCAACAAATATCGATGTGGCAAAGGGTTAACCGGGTGACCCCTTCACTCTGGCTAAAAGGACGTAATCGACCCAACAAAAATGACTTTGTTCCCTCATAAAGTTACGAAAATAGTTTAGAGACTAAATGAACCAACCTTAGAAACTTCGTAGGGCATTTGTGTCATTTTCCCTTTAATAAACAAGTTGAAAAAATGATAAACAAAATAAAATACACTTGTGTAACGCCCAAGATTCAAAATAGTGACTTCAAAGTTAAAAGTTCAACTCTTTACCACTTAGACAACTCAATACTCGTGTTTAATTTTCATAATATAATAAGTATAATTTGTATAAAGATATATAAAAGGAGCTATAAAAATAAATGTTTGAAATAAGATTTGAACTTGCAACCTCAAAAAACAATCCTTAATACCTTAACCATCTAAACCAACTACAACCTATGTTGTTATCTCGCTAAACATATTCATATTATGTATATATACATAAATTTTTTGTAAAAGAATTACATAAATTTTTTTGAAGGGCATCCCGAGATACCCTAGGATCTATTATGGATCCGCCCCTATTACCTTATAAGTCATTTTCCTAATGTCAATAAACATTTACTATGAAGTTACTAATATTATATGCTACTTTAGTCAAATGGTCGACTATTTAACCAAACAATCAGCATAACAATTTAATGATCTAAACCATAATTGAGGTGATCAAATTCAAAAGTACAACAAAATTAATTTTTCTAATGGAAATTATATAGAAAAAAAAAAAGGAAAAATAAACATCATAAATAAACTTCAATAGCAAATAAAGTCATTTGGATGATTATAAATGAATGTTGATATCCGTGATTTAGCCATTTAAATGGCAAGCCACCAAAACTACAAAATCAAATTAAGCTTACAGCTGGAAAATTGTTATAGATTATTTTAATTTGAATACTCTAAAAATAACTTCAAGTTGACCGTTCTCTTCTTGCTTCCTCTCTTTCAACGTGATGAAACAAAACTTTGTGTATCATATAGATATCCTCCTCTTCCGATCCTTCTTCCCCAAAAAAAAAAAAAAAAAAAAAAAAAAAAAAAAAGTGTGCGTGGTATATGTTTTATATCTGAATCTGATCCTTTTTTTTTTCTTTTAATCTCCCATCTTTCTTAGTTTCCCCTCATGGTTGCATGGGCTTTAATAATAATAATAATAATAATAATAATAATAATAATAATAAAAATAAAGATCAATATTGGGCGTCTTGGCGGAAATAAACATTATGGGCCTCTGTGGTAGACGAAAAGACATTTCGGCTGATTTAAATATCCAACGTGGGCTGCAATATTTTAGCCTCTTAAATCATCTTTATGATCTGATTCTTTTCTCAAACTTGGGCTGCTAAATTTATGATGTTAGGCACAGAACCGTACATTTGCGGTCCTGAATCGGTATCGGCTCGGTTTCTAAACGGTTCAGTTTTTTTGTCGTTGGTTGCAGAGCGATTTGGTTTTTTTTTTTTTTTTTTTTTGGGACTGGTCTCATGCAGGTTTTTTCTTCAAACCGGTCTCTTTTGGTCCAATCTTTTTTGGGACCGGTCTTGCAATCTTTTTGTGCGTCTTTTTCGGTTCGGTTTTCGAATATTTTTAGTCTGGTTTTGGTATTTGTTGGTTTTTTTGGTCCGGTTTCGAGTTTTTCCCTAAATAAATGTATGATTAACACCAAAACGATAGATTAAACTTTATTAATAATGATACACTAAAGTTTAATAAAAGAAAAAATAATAATAAAGTTAGATAGTTTGTGATTAAAAATTGTGCAATTAACACAAAAATGATATATTTATAAACTTTGGCTTCCGGTCTGTTTTAAGATTGGTCTCAAACTGGCCTTGGGTCGGTCTTGGACCGGTCTTCAGTCGATCTCAAAACGATCCGACCTTTCTTGGGATTTTTCTCAGAACTGTCCGATTTTCCTCAGATTGGTCTTGTGTTAGTCTTGAAACGGTCGGGTCTTTTTTGGAACTAGTCTTTTTAAGATTGATATTTTCTCGGTCTGGTCTTTTTTCTGTCCAGTCTTTTCTCGGTCCAAATCTCGTTTTAGACCGGTTTGGTCTCAATATTTTTTCAGGTTTTGTCTAATACTTGTCTTTTTGTGCAGGTCTAGCTCAGCAGATTTTCATGCTTCTGTTAACAACACCCAAAAGTGTATCAAATGTGTTCCAAATTTGATCCCGTTTAGATTAAAAAGCAATAAGTTATAAAGATATGTGTAAAATTTCAGCTCAATGAGACCATGTTTCTTATTTGATCCTATCATTTGATTAAGAAAATGCAGTGTTGCCAAAAATCCAAAAATTCTTTTATATCGTTTTCTTTGTTGCTAAGATATTTCAGACACGGTTTTAAAGATTCCATTTGATTTTATTGGTTCTCAAAAACATCATCACTCTCGTTTGCATAAACATAGCTTAACGAGTAAAGTTGTCCACAACACGCTATGTAATTACTAAAATATAAAAAGAAAATAAATTATACAAAAACTTATATAACAAGAATGCTAAAATGAAATAAACAGAAACAAATATAAATCTAAAACATTAAAAGGAAATACATGGTACATATACACAAAATGTCATGGAAAACATCAAAATACATAGTATTAAAATGATTGAAGTAAAATAACCTAACAACTCACAAATCTATGTTGAATATATGATGATTACCTTTAGATACTATTTAATATTTTCTATTTGAGTGTCAAAAACAATAATTTTAATGGGAAATAATACATGTTTAACTACGTAACATACTTAAAAAAATGATGAACTAACAATCACCAGAATCCAAGAAAAATCGGTCACAACTAAAGCTTAATTTTGGTGTTTACATAGGTTTAAGGGGTTGTTTATTTGAGATATGTGGTTACAAAACCACACTTTGACCATTGTGTAATGTTTTCTTTTCTCTTTGTACATTTTTAATCTTGCTTCTTGCTAGATATGAATTTCCCCGTTAAGAAAATATATTAATGATATTGATTATTATTATTATTATTATTATTATTATTATTATATATATATATATATATATATATATATATATATATATATATATATATATATATATATATATATATATATATATATATATATATATATATATTCATTGATAGTCTTAACGCTCTGATACACCTTACCTCTTAAGGTTGCATATATGGTGGTGACAGGAAACATTTATTCATTCACATTTTTCTAAAACGGTTCCGGTAGGTACCCCAAACCCCTTCCATGGTCTTCATATTTGTACCACCAAAAAAAAAAGGAATATATAGAAAGAAAAGTGAACTGATTAATTAGTATCGCTGCAGACTTTCAGCCATATATACATGCATCATAAGTGTTGCACAAATAAAATAATGGATCAAATGAACTTTCCTACAACTTCTTACGAACTTTCAGAAATTTGATATTCTGATGGGAGACGTGTATCTTCCAATTTAATATACAACACCATGAATCCCATTCCTTAAAAGATCGTATAAATATGGATTACTCCACTGGTTTCTTTTTGGAACTCTCTACTTTGTGTTTTGTGTATACTCTCTCTCACACACATAAAACACACACTAACTTTGAGAATCTTGTCTAAGTCACTTGATTGCCATAAATTTCCACAAAGGGAAATATTTTTCATGCCATTATAGAGTGCTGGTACTACGAATCTGTTCATCGTAACAAGTCATGGAGTTCAAAGTTTTGATGGTTATGCTGTTGTCTGTTGCTCTCTCAGTTTTACTCGTCATCAATGGCGCTTCTCTCACTAGTCATCAGGAGCAAACTTCTCATGATTTAGGTATATATGTATATGTTTATGCGTCTCTACGAAGGGTCTTAATTAACACACACAGACACACATTTCATTATGTTCTTTTAGAAATCCCCAGAACCATATCCAAGATAGCACAATTCAAACTTATTTAGCATCTTTTAATTGTTTGAGAAAGTTTTATATAACCATTTGGAAGATTTATATAACCATTTGGACAAGTCTAGTTTGGAAGGCTTCATGGTTTTATTTCTCATGTTTATATGTTTTGCAGCTCAAGAAAACTGGTTTGGTTATGCTGCAATGCCAAGAAAGTTGTTGCTCAATCAAAAGGCAAGTTAATTTATAAACCCTTTGATCACATGCAAGTTTATTCAACAATTAAGCAAAAGTGAGACCTAAAGTCAGCTCATGAATGGGTTTTTTGTTATTAATTTATGTTCAAAATATGGTTCTTTTGTGCATTGATCAGGTTGAAGGCATTAAAGACAAGAACTTGGTGCACAATGAGGCTTTATCAGGTACTAAAGTATAAGCGGTTTTTTCATTTACATAACCAGATGTTGGTGACAAGGCTTGTAATATCGAGGAAACCTAGTTTTTTGCTGTTTCTTTTTAGTAACAACAGCGTAGAAGTATAAATAGAAGATGAATACATCATTTGATTTTTTAAAGTAGTCGGGATTACTCAAGTAGTTAAAATATGTTCAACTTCTAAATTACCACTGTTGTGTAACCTCCGCCACGTAATTATCTACTAGAACAGCAAACTATATGATCCGAACTCAGAATGAGTGAGAGGATATAAGAACTTCCATGAGAAACCCATTACACATATAGTCACATAGATACAAAAGTTCTATTTTGTTTTTATGGTTTTCAGAATTTTCGTTAATTATGAGTTCTCACTTGACCATAATATTCAATGTGCATATATAGGTGAATCTCGCAAAGAAGCCGCAGCTGCTGCATCAGAACAGACAATGCATGAAGGATCCGATCTGACCCCTTTGTTTAGTATGGATTACACTAGCGTGAGAAAACGACGGCCCGTGCATAACAAGTCTTTACCTACGACCACCACTTTTCCATGATATGTGGATTTACCTTTTTAGTTATATGAAGTAGAAATATTCTTTTAGGACATTTAGGATGAAAAAATATGGAAAATTTTGGCTAACAAGTTGTAATGGTCTACACAAGGGATCTAAAAACCCTAAGTTTTGTGTAAATTACGTAAACGACTCTTACTTATGTTTCTTTATAATATTAATACTAAATTACATGTTTGGTCTTAGGCGTTTACATAATATAACACTTTTGATCCAAAGTTTATGTTTGTTGCAAAAATGGACCCTTATTCAAACTAAATTAGAACATTTAGTTCACACTAAGGGCATCTACAATCCATTGAACTCTATAAAGTTCAATGGATTGTCACATCATCCATTAAACATCTATACAACATCATCCACAACCCATTAAACACTTATCCAATCTTAGTTACTATTTTATTCCTTCTATTGAACCATATTCAATGATCATCCAACTCTACTTCATGTCATTATCCACACTTCATTCAACTTTTATTCAATCCTAATCACCGTCCTATTAACCACACTTTATTCAACTCTTGGAGAGTTGAATGAAATGTCATGTACGTAAGAGAGAGATCATTCAATTCTTTAAAAACCCCATATTTTTTTTTAAAAAAATCTCTATGATGCGCTAAAAAAAATTTGAACTCGACCCTCTATATTATATTCAATTTAGTTCCATTAAACCTCATGCAATCCCCATTGTGGATGCCCTAACTTATGTGTGCTTCTCACTGTCAATAACCCTCATGTGTCATGTACACTAGGATATTTTTGTATGTTAACCCCACACCTTTCTATATCCATTTTCGTCTTTCATACAACACCCTTCTATATCCCTTTTCGTCTTTCACATAACACTCTTCTATCTCCCAAGCAATGATCACCCGACTCATAAATCATATCATCATCATTGATTAGGTTTCAACTTCATCTTATGTGTCTTAATACTCATCAACAAACTCTACAGACTTCTTTGGTGACTTTGATCCAATCTTATAAGGGTATATTGAAATGCATGTTCAAATAATCAAGTCTTGTTTGATTTTGAGTTTATAAACAAGAAATGAGTAAGTTTTTCTATTGAAAACACATGTAGCTTTTTCAAAATTATTCTCATATTATTTGGAAAGACACATCTATATTTCGAAGAATATGTAAAGGTTTCATCTCTTTCTCTAAAACCAAAAGGTGTCTTATATTCTATATTACAGAAATCCAATTTAAATATGATTGATTAAAGGGTGACTTTCCTCCTTGTTACATATATATATATGGTCATCCACACCTTTAACGATTTTAGGTAATTATTTTTATTGGGTTTTGTTCAAAATTAGTTTCCAAAAACTCAAAATATTAACAATGGAAGTCTTGAAAAATTCAAATTTAATAACCAATTACAACTCACCAAGGATCTACTTGCAAGAAATGGAAAGATAAAACCACAACCATAGAAGGAAGAAGTAACAACAACCTTTGATGAGCATTGGATCCTCTAGGAGAGGTTTGGATGTTAAAGAAGATAGATGAACCTTGAGACACCAACAATTGATCAACTTGATTAGAATGCTAGTTCCTTTTATCAACTCTTAAGCTTAGAATCAAATACCTAAGTATCTGATCTAAGAGAGCATAAAAACAAGTAAGAACTCTTTAAGATTTTGCAAGAGCACTTCTAGAGATCATAGAGAGAGGGAGTTATGGTTTTTGCATGAAAGAATAAATGACCAAATGCAAGCCACTAGTCTTAAGTCATAAAGCAAAGTCCTTAACCATTAGATATTAGCACTTTAAGATAACCATGTCCTTATGTCATCAACATGTCTTTCTTACGGTAATTACTTTGCATTAAACAAATGCAAAAGCCATGCCCTTCACTAGCATCACTAGTTTCGACCATGCATCAAAAAAGAAGACAAAATGTTTAAATTTTATAAACTCAAAGTTTATAAAATATAAACTTTGTCTTTAGGTAAAAGACAAAAGACTCAACTAGTCCAAAGTGTTGTACATGACTTATTAATTCATTCCTTATGAAATAATATGTTACTTGTATTGTGAAATAATTATGTCTATGAAATAAATATTTTCCCAATTTATTATAAGAGTTTATGAATATTTATTAAAATCAATTTATAATAAATAATCAACTGTATCAATTTGTTGTTAGTGTGATCATTAGTATCATATGTTAATTAGCAATATCATTTTAATATGACTCTCGAGTATATTAGATCTTTCAATCTCATACTTGCACAAGACTCATATTAGATTGATATAGACAGTGATGAATGTCTAGCAACATTTTACTGTGTCACACCCCGAAAACCAAAGACGGAAACGTCTCCGGGGTTGACTACCACGTTGTGTATCAAATCCAATGTACATAGTATTCACAGGAAACAAACATTACATTACATATATATGAAAGTTTACATGTGTTTCAAAAGTAAAGTTATACAAATATACATATGCATCATATTAACAAAAGTTGAGACGAGTCTTCTACGCACTCCGTCTTCGCCAAAAGAGATCACCGGGTACCTGTCTAACTTGGACCTGAGAATACAAGCGGTTTGAAAATCAGCATAAAGCTGGTGAGTTCATAAGCGGTTTTGTTTTGTGAAAATGTATCGGTTTCCTTTTGTTTCCGAAAAGATTTGTTATCCAAGAAAATCCCATATTTTCTTATGTGAAGTTGGTTAAGTTATCGTTTGTTACCAATTCGATTATGTATTGTATTTACCCCAGGAAAATCCCATATTTTCCTAATTGTAAGATCAATAGTATATCACAAAGTATAGTTTAGCACACAAAACTATATAATGAAAATCTTGGGATCACTATCCCGAAAGACATATAAGTTAGTTTGAGATATTCGAAAGTACGGTTCAAGATCATGGGACTATCATCCCGAACTAACACGAGATAAGTTAATGTATGTATGTAAATATAGATTTGAAACCATGGGATCACTATCCCGAATAAGATACAAATTTTAGAACCATGGGATCACTATCCCGTATAAGATATAGATTTAGAAAACCTTGGGATCACTATCCCGAATAGTTCACAGATTTAGAAACCATGGGATCACTATCCCGTATATAGATTTAGAAAACCATGGGATCACTATCCCGTATAAGTTATCGATATGAAACCTTGGGATCACTATCCCGTATAAGATATAGTTAAAGATCATGGGGAAAGACATCCCGTACAGATAGTAGACATAAAACCATGGGATCACTATCCCGAACTAGATACCAAATAGTTTAGTTAATACCATGGGATCACTATCCCGAAAGAGATATAAGAATAAACCATGGGATCATTATCCCGTATAGGACATAGATATAGAATAGTTTGATAATACCATGGGATCACTATCCCGAAAGAGACATAGAAACAATACCATGGGATCACAATCCCGAAAGAGACATAGAATATAGATACAAAACCATGGGATCACTATCCCGAACGAAATAAAGATCTGAACCCAAACTGTGAATAAGCTGGTATTAATACATATTGTGAGTCGGGTAACCATACTAATACGACAACGTGACCTCCTTGACGTTTTCAGACGTCGAACGATATCCAGAAATTTGTCACCCTAGGCGTGCCCGCCTAACTGTAGCTAGCAGTTAAGGTGTGGGATTGTCAGTCCCGAATAGATCTATTCACAAATTCCGCGCTCTCCCTCCAGGAGACTCTGGTTACACTTCCGGAGAGGATTTACTGATCATCCATAAAGGGTAGTGACTATCTCACAAGCTAGTACTAAACTATTCACAGGGTTCTTATAAGATATTGACATACAGAAAGTTATGAAACATAGTACAGTAAAGTATAGATACATACATGAAATCATCGGATAACATATTCAAATGATACGGAGATAAACTGAACAGACATAGTTTATCTAATAATTTAGTATAGATATCAGTATACGATAGAAAGAACAGTAAAGACCCCCAAATTATTCCCATAATAATTTGATTAGTTTGATTGTTTCTTAACTAAAATCCATTTAGTTGAAATCGAGTAGTCATTCCTTATGCTCAGCATAATACATAAGGAGTAAAAGAGTTTATAGATTTGTCATATATTGTTTGAAACACATCAATGTTGTGATTGGAAAACAGTTATGGTTTGCTTGTATTCCCCCCCTGAAAACATTGAAAACAGTGAAAAAGCCGTAGGGGTATGAACTCACCGAACGAGGTACGAGACGGTTTGGATGCTAAGAGTTGAGCCGGGACTTGTAAACGCACGAGGTTCCTAATTATGAAGTAAAGATACACATTTGTATCTAATTAGGACTTAGATTGATTGTCGGATAGGGACAATTGCTTCAGGTCGCGATAACACTCCGATACAAGTGTTTGGTGGGACCCGGGTGGCGTTTAGGGACATGAATGGCACAAGGGACTTGGGAAATGAGTTGGGACATCAAAGGAACACTCCCATTAAGGGAGTTTACGGCCAAAACACCCTTCCCCATGAGTTTACGGCCGTAAACTCATGATGGGTGTTTTATGGTGCCTTTTGGACTTCCAACACTTAGGGGATAATTTCTAGACTAGGTTTAAGGACTTGGAATGATTTAAAACATCAATTTGACCCTATTTGATGGGAGTTTATGGCCTAGCAAGATCCATGGCCGTAAACCCTTGTTTGTCCAAGAAAATGGTGTTAATTGTTGCTAGAACAAATCACATGTGATTGGTAGATTTTATCCAAGGCCTAACATGAGTTTGCATGGGACTTTTGAGTGATTTGTGGAGTTTACGGCCAATGAAACCCCCTTCATGGCCGTAAACTCTAGTGTGTGATGCTACAAGGTGTTTCAAGGTCTAGAACATGCATGAATGGACTTCTAAAATTCATCTAAGGGCCTTAGGGGTGTGTAGTTTGCATTTTAACACCAAAAATTTTGGAGTTTACGGCCCAAGAACATGTCTTGGCCGTAAACCCTTAGAAACCCCATAAAT